TGAAATTACAATTATTTATATTTATCAACTTTATAAAACTGACAAATTTTTGATACAATTTTCAAAAATTTAAAATCTCAGTGTTATTCTTCTAAACTCAAAAGTTTCAGAAATGAATAATTTCCTTTATATCTATTTGTTTGTTTTAATTTCTGCTTGATGAAAATTAATGTTCAATTGATATTATATGTATTTAAAATGAGCAGTAGCAAACCAAACCTTAGAGAAGTTTCACAGTGTCATTGTTTATTTATTTCATTTACATTTCGCCTTGCTAGGGCATCTTCAACTACAATTTGACACTAACACCCTGTTGGATTCACGTTTAAGATATTTTGAATTTAAATCAAAATTATAGTTACACACTTCTGATTAGTGATAAGCAAAAATAGTTTTAGACTTGCAGTTGTGTCTTGTCTTACCTTGGTCTAGCACATTATTAGCAAGCAAGCACCTTTAATTACAATTATTTATATTTATTCATTTTACTGTAGTTTTTCCACTTGACGGAAGAAAGTGTCGTGCAACAATGAACCTTTTAAAAGAAAATTCCGAGAAAGACCTTAACCAGAACCGTAAAAGATTCGCTACAAAGTATACAAGTAATAATAGTTGGAATTTAAACAGCGTTTCGTTAAAACATGTTAAAGACTAGATTTCTTTTTAAGGTATGTTTTGCCCTATGGCACTGCAAAATCCTTCAATCATTGACATTTATTTTGTCGCTTTCAAAATAAGTTTTATTGAATTTGAAACATTTTCTGAATGGGCGTGTCCCGGTACAACCATTCAACTCTTATTTTTATGGAGTAAGCAACAAATAATTTTTCTATATGCTTCCTTATTTGTCCTTGTCACCCGTTTTAATTTGAAACAAGACACTGATGCCAGAATAGTTTGTTTACCGTGAAACATCAGAGCAAAATTAGGGTTGCTAATAATTTTATTGATGTAAAATGAACATCAATCATTTTGTATCAAAATATTTACAACCCCATTTTGTTTCCGATCTTTTACACATTGTAATAAGAGAAAGAATTGGAGTCCATAGTTTTTAGCTTTGTGTTCATCTAATAAGTGAAGTTTTTCGAATCGTTTTCTAAAAAGTTTGTATTATACGCATTTATTAGCCAATCACAATATCTTGCAGTTTTCAGTTTTACACAGCTGGCGTATATCAATTCGATATTGTTTTGTGGGCTGTTTTGTCGTAATCCATAGAATTTTGTAGTTCCTTGCTAAAGGTAGGATAAGTGGTGATTTGGCAGGTGCTGATATCAATTCGGAATTTCGAAATTCCATGGACCATGACATTGAACTCGGAAAACAATATCGATCCAATATTTTAAATTATCCATTTCCAAGGAGTTTAGAATTTTTTGGGCTCTCTTCAATTAAAGAATTAGAAGGCATTCATGGAATGTCTCTTTGTCCCTTTTTTTAAGCTTCTAATACCTTCAAAGACCAATGTGAGCAATTTCATTCATCATTTTATATAATGCTCGATCGGTGATTTTAACGGTAAAAATGTATTTTGCATTTTACAAATAGAAAATACGTTTGGAAAAATATTTTCAATAAAATAAAAAATGCTTTTCTCAAAACAGTATTTAAATGCAAGATAAAAATAGGGATTTTTATTTTGTGTTTGCATTTCAAATGCTAGTATTTCAAATTTCATGTTTCTAGGTCAACAGGAAAAAGTTATATTCTGTAGAATTAGCATATGTAAAGTATCTTTTTTATAAGATATATCCATGCCAGACAGAATTTTAGAATAATTTCCCGCGTAAATGGAGTTAAGTAAATCAACTTGCACCATTTAATGTTTTATCCAATAAAATACATAAACTTGTGCTTTTTTTGTTAAATATAGGCACTTTGTAGGTAGTATTTACATACTTTTATAACTTTATAAATAAGACGTAGATATGTATATATGCATCGTCATACGTGAAAGAATATTTAAATTTTTATAACCATATCGACGAAAAAACCGAATATTGGAGTCAGAAAAGCTTTCTAACCAAGTACATTTCCAATTGATATCAGTTTCGTGGTAAAATACCCATAAATCTAGTGGGGAAAATTCGCTAAGTATAAAGATTTTATCTCATAAATTGTAGCGAAGCAAGC